CCCGCCGTTTACGTTCCTGCTTTCTGCAACTTAAGGGACGTCGTTACACAAAGTAAAGATGTAAAATAACAATCGTTTAAAGTTTGCTAAGGTCGGACGGCTTGGGTTCGCTTGCTATTGTTTTTAAAGATGTGATTCCACTATGTTTATACTCATGCTCAACAGTTGATTCTTGTGTGTGCTATAAGGTGAGAATGTCACTGTTTAACTTTAACAAAGCATGGATTCTCCTGAATATAGTTACGGAGATGTCTCACAACCATCAGAGACAGCCAAAGTATTGTGGACAGTTGACACACTGTCAGTCTGTGGCGTCTTCACTGCCAAATGATATTTCCACTCTAGATAGCTAAACCCGATTTTTAAAAAACTCACCTTTGGTATATAACATCAATTGGAAACTTCATACTGTTTTAGTTCTTCACTTTAAAATGGGTATCAACTTTAGGAACTGATGACAGATCCCAGCTTCCACAGTGAAAATAGCCCCTGGTTTGGTCTGATGTGTTTCCTCTTGCTAAGGAAGAGACTCTGTAGCAAACCAGGCTTGCACAGATTTAAAGAGAACATTATTCATATTTTGCATCTATTACATCATTATATTTGCAATAAACTTTGAGGAAAAGGATCGAATGTGACATGTTATAAGAAGTTAACACTTTTTGTATTTCTTGCCCCAAACTAGTGGTTATCATTTTTTTTTAAATTGCTGTATGCATACCCATAATAATCTTACTTTCTATATCTAACTAGTTTGAATGGTACATATTACAGAGGATGGACAGGGTGGTTCAAAAGCTGAAAGAGAGACTACCTTAGGTAACTTGTACCTTTAGCAGCTTGACGGCACAGATAGGATCATTCTTTCCATTGCCACGCTATTGTCAAGAATTCTAAAACGGTTGATATCAACTGTGACTATGAAAACATTTCTCCCCCAAATATGGACACATAATTCTAAGAACTGTACTTGATGCTGTAACTAGAGAGGAGGAGATAAATTTGTAATTAGTATTTTAAGTTGGAAAAACGAAAGAAACATAAGTTGGGAATGTGTAAGAGCTGATGTCTTTATATCTAGTTCACAGTGAAGGGCACAAGTGCCTTTGAGTGTGCCAGATCACATACAGTAACTCCTCATAACGTCATAAACTAAATCCTCTCTTTAAGGCATAGGGCCTTCTCCAAGTCACTTCCTGAAACGCAGTATGTTCAGGTAACAATTCCAACAGCACTAACTCACAAGGGGTCCTAGATACTGATTAAATGTTGACCTCAAAAAGAAAACTCCTAGAAGGTTTTTGGGCTGGGTGAGGTACTTGGGGGTGCAGTTCTGTGGCCAGCCCTTTAAAAGTTCTGAGAAAACTTCATAATCAACAAATAAAAACATCTAAATGCCAGGCCCATCAGCAAAGAAGGTTAGCGCTATTTTCATTGTCAGCTAAAAAAGAAAAAAGGAAAAGATAAGCAGATGGGGCAATTGAAAGGTTACATCTTTCTTTTGGAGGTGGTTTGCTTTTTAAAGGTTAACTTGAATGCTTGACTTTAAAAAAATCAAAATCATCAGCTGCAAATGCTTAAAGCAGTTGGGGGTAGCTTTTGAAGAAGAAAACAAAGGATCTGAAATGTTTGAAAATTACTTAGCCCCCATATAAATGGTGTTTGTCTATTTATATGCTTGGTCTATAAATGAACACACACACATACCACAACTCATTTCTCTTCATTTCTCAAATATGATTGCTTATACTCAGGCTTTTTCTGTTGACACAACATAACTTTTTAATAACTTGTTAGCTGTTCTAATCATTTGGTAGTGTTCAGAATACAATGCAGTTGCAATATGAACCAGGACAGCATTCTGCCTAAGTCAAAATCTACAGCTACACACAGGAAACAGCCATTTGCAGCATCTTCAGCTCCTGCTAAAGAGAGTCTAACAATATATTTTGCTGTGCACATTCATGTATTTCAAAACCTAATAACCCATGAAGAAAAGTATGAAGAATACATCTCAAGAAGCAGACATTAAAGGTACCAGCAAAATAATAGACTACATTTAAGTTTGAAGCATTATTTTAGACCACCTACATCATTAATGACTTTTTCTTTGTAATAGGTGTTGGAAAAGAGAATGCACATGAGGGTTGGCTTAAATGTTGGCTTCAATGTTGGCTTCTATTATGTTTCTTTGCTGTGCGTGAGATTATTCACAAATGCAAACACACTACTCTTCAAATGCTCTTTTAAAAATTATTTGTCCTTCAAAGTCTAAATAGATATTTGAAATATGAAGTCATTTTGAAGTAAACATTTACACCTAAAATTTGTCTTTAAAATATCCTACTTAAATCATACGTCATAGTGTAATATTTAACCATCAGGTACACAACAAAAATTAGACACATAATTCCAAATTTCAAGTAAAACTATATTCAGGAATAGAAATATTTAAAGAAAAGATGAACTCATCATTTACTATCATATTAAATGCACCAGCAAATTTACAAAAGTACCATTATTATCACGTTTATCATGATCACGATCATAACAGCTTATCAGACAACCTGATCTCAATAAAAGTGGGAAGGATTATTAATTTTGGTGTTATCTTTTCTAGAGAGAGGAGGCATCTATATTCCTCTTTCTATTTTTAACTATTGGACCTAATGTCTGGAGTCACTTCAAATGCAACACTGTTAATCAATTTCAAACTTCCAAACCAATTGGGGCTAGCTTTTGGTTTGCAAATTTTTGGAGGAAGCAGCAATTCCTGCTTAGGTATTCAACTTTCATAAATCTCACTAAACCTTGCAAGGTGGCGCTCTTTTCATGAAAAGCCAATATTATTTATAATCAGAATAACATTTTTTAAAAAGTTAAACACCACCCTCCCCAGTGTTTGATGTGCTATAGTAAGTGCAGCAAATTTCTTCCTCAGTAAATAAAACTGTTGACTAACAGTGACAAATATAAATAGCAAGAGATGAAAAGACAAGTCAACAAAGGATTCTTAAAGATAAGTGAACATTTTTGTCTTGTAATTGGCCAATGGTATAATCTGAAACATTAACTTCACTTTAAAATAAATGTATCTTAAGGGGTTATCATACTTTGTGGGGTTTTTCCTCTTGTTTTCTCTCTCAGAGTCAAATATGGCCTGTGGCTTCCTGAACACATATAGTATAATAAAGAATCAGGTCCATGGTCCTCCTTCCCCAGTGAGGTCAGTTTCTGCTGTCTGCTCTGTACCTCTACACCCTAGCAGCTACAGCCAAGGGCCTTATTTGTGATCTTCAGCTACGCAGTCTGCCTAATGGGGCGATCATGCAAGCTACAACCAGAGACAAAGAAGCCTGCGTTCCTACCAGCGCAGCTAACTTCATGGAAGCAGCATAGCTTGCAAATCTATCAAACTAAACTGCAAGAAAGACAATCTGATTTAGAGAAAAGGCGTCTGCCACAGTCATTAAGCACAAGTAATTTAGATTTTTTATATTGTCTGCTCATTTACAAATTTACTGTATCAACGCCAACCAATGGAACGAATTTCTTAAGTAAATGAGAAATAAATAAAAGAGATAGAAAGATAATCAAATTACTTAAAATAATCCTCTTCCCTAGATGTATTTTTGAGAGAACTAATAACAGTGGCAAAATCATAGGAATAATAACATATCATAGGAAGTAATTAATTTAAATTAGCATCGTGTTTGAAGAATATAAGTGAAACGCTTTATGGACATTTACTTTTGTACAAAGAAGGAAGGCCTGGAAAAGCATGCATCGACATTCTGAAAATTAGTTATGGTCATAAATGGTTTAATTGAAGACAGCAATTTAAAATATAATATTGTAAATCTGCAACTTGGTTTCAGCCCCGGGAATTTAATCTAGGGGGCAGCGGAACCCTCCACTGCAAGTTCATTTGCAACGTTGCAGAGCAAGCCCCTGAGCTTCTGACAATTTGTCTACATTAATATTGATGTCGCCTGTGCAATCTATTTCTGTTATTTTTATGGTTGTTATTCTACATCTGCAAAGGTCATTTAAATTATACTGCGGCCGAAAATTTGTTTCATAAATTTTGATATAAATACTAATTACACTCTCTCGGAGAGCCAGCAGGGTAGCATTCATTTATCACGTTTATACGACCTGCAATGACAGAAAGGGAAGGCAAGGGAGACTGGAGAGCTTTTCTGGAGACTCTTTAAGACTGGCAGAAGAGGCAGCAGGTTGCTGGTGGGTGAAGAAGAAATTCCTACCACAATCACTGAGATTTAAGAATCTTTAATAAGGTACGAAAGGTTACCAAACAGTTCTGGAAACTAAAGTGTACATACGAGTTCTTCTAGCCATAAATATTGAAGAGCTGTAACATGGATAAACCGGCCCTTTACATGCGGATAAATATGGAAACTAGGAATTATATACATTATGTGGTTGCATCTTTTGCCAAAAGCAACGGACAATTATAGTTTATATCTTTTTTTAATATCACTTTACATAAACGAATGGAACAGTTTGACACGCAGATCCAGGCTCGTACTATACGAATTCTTGACAGGACGTGAAACAACATTTTACTGCACTAAAGTACTTAGACTTTGGGACGAAATGTTTGCACTTTATACAAAAAAAGCACATTAATACCAATAATATTCGGTTAGGTCGACGTGGAGACTGTAATCGTACAAAGTAATTCACATTTTCGTACACATTTACTAGAACATTCTTGCCATTCAGTACAAACAGTTGGCTTTCGGCCGCCCACCCCTCCCCCTCCCCCGCCCACCCTGCCCCTCCCCCTCCCCCAATGCAAAGACCACAACGCCACAATCCCACCCACCCTCTCCAACCGAGATATAACTATTTACAGAATTCAACAGTACAGTTTTAAGCTAATAATTCTGTATTTACAAGAGCACAAAGAAAAAAAAAAAAAAAAGCCGAAGCCCCGGAGAGCCCGTTCCGATCCGACAAGAAACTGGCGCTCGGGGTTGGCGGCATTTGGTCAGGCGGCCTCCTCCCCCTCGACCCCCTACCGCACCTTGGGTACCAAGCCTTTGCCAAAAAAAGAAAAATTCTAAAAGCGAAAGGAAATATTTAAAAGATTGATGCTTCCTCTCTTACTCGTCCTGGGTCTATTGGCAGATTTTTAAAAAAGAATTGCGGGGTCTGTGGGGCTGTTTCGATTCTCAGGGTTCTTTCAGTAATGTCGTGTATACGTGTGTGATCAGTCTCTTAAATAGGGTTTTGTTCTGTGTTTTGTTTCTGATTTTAAACGTACCATTCGTTAAAATTGGAAGAGAGTGCGCTGTGGCCAGCTGTGTGGTGGACCGCGGAGGAGGAGGGCGATAAGGAGCTGGTGGTCGGGTTGTCTGTGGAGGGAGACACGATGGTGGGAGGCGTGGAGGACTCGTAACCTGAGCTGGCGGCCGGCGAAGGCTGCGAGCCCTGCGAGGAGGATTCGTGGACCTGCAGGAATAAAGTCGCGTTTTTACCGACATAAAGAGCCAGCGCGGCGGCTGCCTAGAGGGGCCAAGGCGAGTGCCTGTCCTCCTATACCCTTTGGAGCCTGACCCCAAATGCAGTCGAGGCCAGATCAGCGGAACTTGGGGCTTGGTTCCCCTGCACCGGCCTGCAGACACCGGGCTCCTGGGAAAGTCGGCGTTTGCAGGACTCACAAAAGAAAAATAGGTCTGGGAAGAGGGAGGCTGGATTTGAGGCCATATACTGCACTTTCCTTCCCCGAATTTTGTTCGCCCACATTTAGGTGAGCCAGCGCTCAGGCCTGGGTGCAGGAGTCCACCTCTACAGTCCCACGGGGCCAGGAGCAAGGGCCTCAGTTTCGGCAGCGTCAACCCCTTGCAAAAGCCCTAGCTCTGGGCCAAATTCAGCGGAGGCCTTTGCTCGTACTCGCCTCTTTCAACTTTTATTATGAAACCATTAATTTAAAAGCGCCTTGGGCACTCCCATCCCCTTTTCCAGGTCCCACCCTACCCTCTCGGCCCAGCTCCAAGGAGTGGAGCCTTTGCCTTCCCGTTTCCTCCGGCTCCCGCCACCGCCTGGCTGCCACTCGCCGCCCGACCCCCAGGCCGAAAGCCGAGTCAGCTCCTGCCTCAAAGTGGGCAGCGAGAGAGCGGCGATTACCTTCATGTGTTTGCGCAGCGAACTGGGGTGCGTGTAGGACTTGTCGCACATCTTGCAAAGATAGGGCTTGTCGCTCGTGTGCACGTGCATGTGCTTCTTGCGGTCGCTGCTGTTAGCGAAGCGCCGGTCACAGCCCTCAAACTCGCACTTGAAGGGCTTCTCCCCTGGTGCGAAAGGAGAATGAGAGGGGTCTCATTAGAAAAAATTCCGCAGCCGTTTTTCAAAAACTAAACAAATGGAAAAATAAAATAAAACAAAAAGCCAGCAGCCCAGGATTAGCACTTTGCAAGCTTAAAAACCCGGAATGTCAATAAATTCATCTATCTGCAGCGAAATTATAAATATCTTAACTCTATTTTAATATCTAATACAATTAGATCTACGTTTTATTTTTAGGTTTAAAAAAATTAGTAGGAGGAGGAGTCGGTTTTTAGCATCAGGGTCTGAAAAGTCGTGTTAACCAGACCTATACACACGATTTCAGATTACTTCTACCTGGCTCCCGGTTTCTAGTTTTCACGTTTGAGGTTTATTCTCCTGCCCTATTGCTTTTCTCTCCTCCTCCTGCCCCCTCCCCGACGCTCCGCAACCCCTCATCGCCTCCTCCAACCCACCCCAATCCCTACAGACATTCACATTTTATGGCAGAATCTGTAGGGGAGAGAACTCAACGCCAATTCTTCCCTGACTCTGCGTTAAACCGAAAGTCCCAAGCATGGTCCTCAGACCTCACCCAGATAAATCATAATAGGAAAGGAGACCCAATTCCCGGCTTCGTGGGCGCAAGGGGCCCAGAATGTCTTGCCTGATGCCAGATTATCACAGGAACTTCTTTTTTTTTTTTTTTTTTTTTAACTATTTCAGACCTGTGTCTTGATTATTTTTAAAGGCCAAAGCTGGGGATCCGGTGTTTTGAAAACCACCCTCTTGGAGTCTAATAGACAAAGTGGTCTTCCTCGCTTTACTTGGACTTTTTCCATCCCTCAAGCCCACGCTTTAAACCAGTCACTACTAAAATAGAACTCTTCTAATGTGCATAAAGCTTCAAAAGCCTACTTAATCCCAAATTATTTCCTTTCCCCCTTCTGTCTCAACTATTTCTGTCTCTATTTTGTTTTTTTCTACACCCCCTAACCCGCTCGCCTCAATTTCCTCAGCTCTTTCCTTTGGCAAAGTCCTCAATGAAGTACCTGGAGAGAGATGTTAGCAGCAAGCAAGCGTTTAGATTTGTCTGCAGCCTGAGCAGCTGGCGCCTCCGCGGCTGCCCGTAGCCAGCCACTTTCCCCGGCTTCGAAAGCACCAAGGTCTCCGCCAAACCAGGTTTGGCTTCCTGTTCTCCGGAACTTTTTTGTTCCTCATTTAAAAAATCTGTATCTCCAGATCCTTCTTGTCCGCCCTCTTGTTTTATTTTAATTTTTTCATAATTTCAATCCCCAAACTAAAAATCAGTGCACACTTTCCCCGCCTGCCTGCCAGAACCTGACGCCCGGATCCCACTGAGGCTCATCTGTGCGACCTGGCCGCTGACTTTCGGATTTTGGGTCCCAGGCCCAAGTGGGATGGGTAGGGGTCCTACAGTGGTTTCCGTACCTGTGTGCGTCCTTTTGTGGATCTTTAAGTTCTCGGAGCGCGCGAAGACCTTGCCACAGCCAGGGAAGGGGCAGGGGAAGGGCTTCTCGCCCGTGTGCACGCGGATGTGGTTAACCAGTTTGTATTTAGCTTTGAAGGGCTTGCCCTCGCGCGGACACTCCTCCCAAAAGCAGATGTGGTTACTCTGCTCCGGGCCACCTACGTGCTCCACGGTGACGTGCGTGACTAGCTCGTGCATGGTGCTGAAAGTTTTGTTGCACGACTTTTTGGGGTTGGCCAGTTGCTCGGGCTCGATCCACTTGCAGATGAGCTCTTGCTTGATGGGTTGGCGCATATAGCGGAAGAAGGCGCCGGCGCCGTGATGCGCGGCCATGTTCACGTTCATGGGCCCGTAGCCGTGCAGCTGCGGCGCAGCATAGTGCTCGGAACGCGGGCTGGTCACCTGGCCGTACTGCTCGGGTCGTGGGTACATGTCCCCCGAGAAGCCGAGCCTCATCTGCCCGTTGACCACGTTAGGCGACGCGTGGCCGGCAGCCTGCTCGTGAAGCCCAGGGAAGAGGAGGTGGCCCGCGGCGTCCGTGTGGCCGTGTGGGCCCCCGAAGCCCCCGGCCGATGCAGCGAAGAGGCTGTGCTGTGCGCTGGCTGCCGCCGCCGCGTCGCCAAAACCCCGGTTGCGGAACAGAAAGTCCCGCGTGGAGTTGAAGGCTGCGCTGGAATAGGAGCCGACGTGGCTGGGGTGATGGTGATGGCCCAGGGCCGCAGCTGCCGCGTAGCCCGGCGCCTGCGACGTGAAGGCCGTCTGGCCGGCCGAAGCCAGCTCATGAGAACTGGGGTTGAGCTTGAAGGCGCCCATGCCATCGGCGAACGGGTTGATGCCCAGGCCCACGTCTCGCTCGGCCACGTCGCCCGCGGAGTGGTGGCGGGACGCGCCGAAGGTGGTCACGCCGATCGCTGGGTACTGGGGGCCGGCGTCCAGGAGCATCGTGGCTGCTCGGGGCGAGCCCCGGCCTCCCCCGTCCCCCCCACCCTCGCCAGCCGAAGAGGGAAAATCGGAAGGAGGAGGAGGAGGAACGAGAGGAGGAGGAAGAGGAGGAAGAAGAGGAGGAGGGAGGGGGAGTCGACCCACCTCGCGAAGTCCTAGCCTGCAGGCAACGGCGCGGCGCGCCGGGGCGCTGGCCCGGCCAAACACAAAGTAGCCGGACAGCTGCGGGCCGCGAGTAAGGCAGGCTCCAGCGCCCGCCACGCAGACCCTGCCGGCCCGGCTCGCACTTTCTCGCCGCTCAGTCTCTGCCGAGAGGGCCGCGTGTCAAGGCTGCCCGGGGAAAGGCATGGAGCATCTCAGCCCCCCAAAAAAACTTCCTCCTGGATTTGTAGCATAGAGGAATGTGAGCGCCAGAGCCGCGGCTGCTTCGCGCTCTCTCCGCCTCGCGCCGCGCGCCCCTCCTCAATTCTCCACTAGCCCCTCGCCCTTTCTTTTCTCTCTCCTTTCTCTCAGGCTCGCCTCCTTGCTCCTTCACTCTCCTTTTTTCCCTCTCTGCTTTTTGCAAAAAAAAAAAAAAGAAAGAAAGAAAGAAAAGAAAAAAAAAAAGAAAAAAAAAAGTGGGTGGGGGGGAGACGAAAGAAAGAAAAAGCCAAAGAAAAGGCGCAAATCATGCACAATATTGTCTTTTGCGGTTTATCTTCCTGGGGAGAAACTTTCACCTCCTCAGCCGGGCGGTGAGCGCGAGACTGATAGCAGCAATCATTCCTGCAGATAAATGAATTGAAAGGACGACACCGTCCCCCCCTTGATGAATGGGAGCAGGGGGAGGTGTCACGTGCTGCGGATGCTGGCGCCCATTGGTGCGCCTGCACTCCCCCCGCCTGCAGCCGCCGCGCCAACGGAGGGCGCGCCGAGGCGCCGAGCGCAGCTCATTGGCCCGCCCGCCTCATCAATCCCAGGTATTGTAAAGCGCTTGACATCCCCTTTTGACAAACCAGGACTGCCAGGAGAAGCAACTTTTTTTTTAGCCAAATTTTTTCCCTCTTCTCACGGAATTTTTTTTTCTTTTTTTTTTTTTTTTTTTTTTTTTTTGCTACGATTCCCTTCCTTCTCACAGTTGTATGCATTCCTCCTCCTCCCTTGCCACCCCCCCCCCACCTCCGCGCGGTTCTTCCCCAAACCTACTCTTCGCTGAGCGATTAGAGACTTCGGGCGTCTCCTGGTGCAGGAGGCGGGGATGGGGCTGGTAAACACAGCAAAGGCACTTCCAGAATGTCCCGATTCAGCAACTTTCTTTTCTTTCTTCCCCCTTTCCCCCCATTCAAGGGCAGCAAAAAAGGCTTTTGTTATTTGCTCCTTTTGAAGTTTGTTTCCCTCTTGCTTAGTCCCCCTCCTGTTTATAATTTAAGATCTTGGGAGCACACGGGCACTATGCTCTCTTTACAAGAAATGCAATTTCTCAGTGTAACCGGTAGCCTCTGTATTCCTCGCTTTTATCTAATCAGACTTCCTGCACCACCTCACCCCCCACCCCCCCACACACACACGTGGATGAAAGCGCTGAAGTTCCCAGGTTATTGTGGCTGGAATTTTTTAATGGCAAATTTGAAACGCTGTTGACAATTTCCTTTTCTTTTTCCCTCTCTTGCCTTATTTTTCTCTTTACTCTTTCCCTTGTCTCCCTCGACTGCCCCCGCTAACTCTGTCTCTCTGGTCTCCTGTTCCCTACTTGGGCCCCTTTCATTCAGGTAAAACTGTAAATTTCCCAATGCGACATTGTTCCCTTGGGCTGCCCAAAGCTCCCTAGAGATCCCCGAATACTTTTTTGGTATTTAAATCCCCAACAGATAGGACTAATGTAAATTTTGTGACATTCAAACCTTTTCTAGTTCACAAATCAGTCACCCTTGTCACAGTTATTGAAATTCCGCAACTCGCCACACCAGGACGGTGGAAAAAGCGGGCGCGGTCTTTGTTGCCGACCAGGCTTTTGATCGCCAGAGAAAATTTACTTACCTTCAGATGAGTGAACAGAAAAAGAAATAACACTCCCTTTGATTTAGTTAGGAAAATGCAGACATTTGGATTCAGTGCAAACATACAACACTCGCTTGTTTTCGCGATGCGGCCCTCGATTAACCTGTCTTTGCCTAGCGCAAAGTCTATTCAACAACTGCGCGTAGTTTCTTTTTGTCCCGTCCACAAAGAACCATTGACTATATATTAAAATGATTGTTGAAAGGTAGGGGAGTATGGTACTTTAAAGCAGGAAAAAAAAATCCCTGTGACTCAATTAATTAAGCCAAGCAACATTTATGCATTTCAAAAAATGCTCGCGGATGCGGGGGGCTGTGGGGCTGAAGGTTGCATTTCTCCGCAGCTCTGTTTAAAACTCAGCAGCCCTGACCGAGGGTTTAGCTGAAGCGTCTGCATATTCATTAGGTCTAATTATTTTCTAGTAAGGAAAACACAAAAAGCCAAGAGTCGGAATCCTTCAATTTACCCTTTGTTTCTAACTTCATTTGGCTTCTTTGCAGCTGAATCAAAGCCCTAAACTCTTTTCCAGACAAAGAAACCTCAACTCATCCTTTCACAGGCGGCCGGGTTAGAAAACTCACCAGTGCCCCAGAGAGAGGAAAATGAACATGAATATATTTTTTTGCCCTGACGCCGGCGCTGACTGCACGGGCTGGAGGAAGGCAGGGTCAGCGTCTGCCGCTCCTCGCCTTTCTGGTTTTCTTGTCTTCTCACAGACTAGATTCTCGCTTTGGGCTGGCCAGAGGGAGTACACTTTTCATGGGATCTGCTTGCTCAAAAGTCGGCTTGGGTATACGGGATAATTTATCGGTGCCTGAAGGGACCTGGCTGAGCATTTGTGCTTGTGCTGGGAAATAGAAATTCAAGAAGAAGAAGAAAAAAAAATCAATTGCTCTATTCCCATCAACAAGTCTGAGTCTACCAGCCCAGCATTTCCCACCAACTTTGAGTGGAATGGAATGGAATGAGGAGTGGAGGGAAAGGAAGCACTGAGGCATTTTTAAAAATTATATACTTTTTTTCTTAGGAAAAAAAAAAGATATATCATAGTCACTAAGTCTTTTTACCTACAAGGGATCCTGCTTCCCCTGGAGCTGAGCAAACCTCATCTGCAAGGGGAAGTTTTCTCTAGAGGCTGTATTCCTCTCACTAGGGAGAACAGATATTGAACCCACCTCACCCGCCTTTCAGGAAAAAAAAAAAAAAAAAAAAAAAATCCTATAAGGGAGGGGATTGAAGGGGGAAGGGTAGCTGTTGGGAGGGGGAGAGGGAAAATAATTCTTCAAAAAAGAAAAGTCAGTCTTCTCCTCTCCAGTCTGTGGAAAATCCAACGGGGACGTTGACAAGAGGGTATTTTTAGGAAACACATCCAAATATACAGGGTAAGAGTGAATGTGAGAAAAAAAAAAAAAGTTGTGGGTTGTAGAAGTTATCAAGTGGGATTTGCGGCGCTCTCTGCAGGAAACGCGAGCGGCTCCAGTTCAAAGCCACATGCACCAACGTGACATATAAGCCATTAAAATATCATCCTGACGGCTCATTTCTGCTTCATCATACATTCCCTAACTGCTTCCCGAAAGCTGGAAAAGGAGAAATGAAGGATGACCGCCTCGCTGGAACCACAAAAGAGAGGCTTGGAGGGGTTTGTGGTCCCCTCTCAGCCACCCCGAAATGATGTGCAGAAATGAGACGATCCTGGCAACAGGTGGAGTGGGGTAAGTGCATCAGTCCAGGGGGCAGACAGATGAGACCAATACCTCCGGCGACCGGGTAGTGAGGGCTCTCAAGGGGGCCATTGGCACCCAAACCCCAGTGGGGGAAGAGGCCCAGCCAGTATTTCTGCCCCATCTCCTCCTTCCTTTCCCCACCCCAACCGTGGATACAGGCCCCACCCCACTGACACTAAGGGGAAGGAGGGGGGTCCTTCCGCAGACTGGCAGCGCTAAGGATGAGTACATCCCTTCCTCTCAGGAGGAGGGAAAAGGGGGACAAATGGGGCTCCCACTGGCACAGGAACCAGGAGCAGCTTGTTGCCTGCCTTTCTCTCCTTGGAAATTGTCTGGGTGCCCCACCTTGAGCACAAGAAGGGGAATCGTGGCCCCTAGCTTCCCTCGCGATACATGAGCAAGGCAGATGCCGGGAGGGGGCCTTTACAGGCCTTCTCTTTGCTCTGCCCCCAAGGGAATGGTGAGGAGGGTCTCCGCTTCCCCTCTCCAGGGTCAAAGAGCCAAGTTAGCCCAGCTGGCAGCAAGACGATGGAACTTCTCCGCCCCAACCTGAGGGCAGATGCCGCCTGAGTCCACCTTGGGCCGGCTCCTTCCCCCCACCCCCCATCTTGGTCCTGCCTCAGGAAGCTGACTGCTGGGATCTGCTCTCTGCGTATGGCCAGCAGTGGGTTCGAGACTTGGCTTTCTTTCTCTCCAATGTGAACAAGAGCAGTAACTAGTTCTCTGGGGAACAGGCCGCAGCCCCTAGGATTCTGGCCTCTAGCGTAGACCCAGGGGCATTGGAAATTAGGGGCAAGTGAGGGAACGGAGTTGAGCTGTGAAAGAAAGCTAGGACTGGCTTAAAGGTTGGATCTGAAAGTTGGGGTTGCTGAATGGCCCATGGAAGAGTCTTAGGAAAGCGGAGAGGGTTTTGGAGGGTCGCACTTCGGCAGTCGCAGTCTTCACGAAAGTCTTTGGATTCCGAGGTCATGTTTTCCCCGCTTTCCGACAGTATTGGCCTCGCAGCGACCCATACCACTGCACTCCGCTGATTTTTGTCCTATCTCAGCCGCCTGAAGGTTGGGGGAGGGTTAAATGCCCAAGGTGATCCTGCAGGTGATCTACTGATAGAAACTATTCTGGAAACCCAGAGGCTGCCCACACTTCAGCCCGGAGCTGGGAAACCCGAGCTTCTCCCTCTAGAGAATAGGAGAATAAGTAAAGGCCCCTGACTAACCCAGTCTCAGCAGCTCTACCTCCTGGCGCTTAAGGGTCGGATGGAGGGGAGCCAAAAAGGTCCGGGGTGCAGATGGGGAAATCAGGCAGCCGCTCTGGCTTGGAGCTCCACGCCAGCCAGCTTTCAGGGTTTTTGCTCTGCGCCCACCAGGGACAAGTTGCAGCGGAGAGGTGTCCAAGCCTTTCCCGAGCCTGCCGGCAAATCAGTAAGAAGCAGCTCCGGAACTGAATGAAGTCTCTGGTTGCAGCTGACCTCTGACCTTGGGTAGTCCTGCACTGGCTAGGTCGACCCCACTACTTGCAGCTTCCGAGGTTCTTCTAAATGAAAATGGTGCTTTTTGCACCTACCCACCGCCCCACCTTCTTGGATCGCCTCCGGCACTATCAATCACTGGGGCTCCCTAGCACCCGTTCCTCTTCTCAAGGTGGGAGGAGAAAGGAAGACTCCAAAAAGTCTCCAGGATGTGCTATGGCCTAGGAATTCAGAGGCTGCCGCTGACGTGGGGAGCAAGCATTTGGGGGGAAAATGAAACTGAGTTCCTATATTCCGGGGTTGTTTGAGTCCTCAGGTCCCGGGGCCCAGGGATTCCTCCCAAATCCTCTCACCTACCCTTCAGCAAGATGACGGGCTTGTTTGCTAAATGGTGTCAGAGTTTGAACCAAAGGAGATGTTTACCCTGGTTCCCTGTATAGGCTGGGTGATGAAAATGCTACAGAGTCTCCTAAAGTCCTTGTTGCCTGCTCTAGTCCGACCTCTGCAACATTTGTTTGCATGTCTACGCGTCTGTAGTGCACAAAAGACTGACAGGACCTGAGGCAGAAGTGATCCAGTCCTCTTAGAAGTTGGGTGGAGGTAGCCTTGCCGGTGGACAGAAATCTCTAGGGAATATTACACCCATTTCCCCCAGAAGCAAAAAAAGTAAATTCTATTATTGCCAACCAACCAGGACTTCCCCATGCCAGACATCCTGCCATGAGGAAATTTCAGAGCGAGGACGCCCAGCATGATGCCCTTCTGTAGGAATGCAAAGTTAGGCCTCCTTTCTTTCCCGATTCGTGCTGGAAGGAGCTTATTACCTTTGGGGAAGAATGCCTTTTGGTTAGAAAGAATTGAAAATAATAATACCCTCTGGGAAAAGGTGAGTTTACCCCCCTGCCTTCCAGGCCAGGACCTAGAAAGGAGGGAAGATGGAAGGGTAAAAGCTGCCAAGCCAGTTGGAATTCTTGATGGAGGTTGAGGGGGAGAGAGAGAGAGAGATTTTTGTGCACAGAGAACTGGATACCCTTTAAGATAACAGAGCCCCACTTGGATTTGGCCTGTGGTTCAACAAGTTAAACAACTGCTTGTTCTGTGGGCAGACATCCCCATTGACAGAGGACTTGCTGTGTTTGTCCAGCCTGAGACCTTTTCAATGACTGTTTTTCTTTCTAGGCCAAATTGAGGGTTGGGGCGGGTAGATGCTTCTGTTTGGCTGCTCAACTGCCTTCAGCCTTGCCTGACAGACGCAGAGGTCCTCAGGATGGCTTTAAGTATTTAAGATGGCCAATAGCTTGGTAGCTTTAGCCACAAAGTGAATCTGATAAGTAATGTGTATATCTTGGGGAGGGGGGTATTATTTCTACCCTTCTTGACTATGAAATGTGGATGATTCGAACCAAATGATTAAAATTATACCTTTTTAATCTGACAAATTTTTTTATTAGCTTTAAAAAATCAACTGGCAATGGATCCCAAATGGGCCTGGGGTGTGGGAAATGTGAGGCTAAGGAATTCTGCAGCACCACAGGCAGAACAGGATTTGAAAACCTGTAAAGACATTCCTATCCTCTCAGGTCCAACAGTTATAACTCAGATTTGAACTGCTAACCTCTCAGAGTTCAGTAGGCTTTCCCCACCACACCTCACTAAATTTCAATTAATAAACTTCTGAAAAATAATGGGGTTTCTTAGACAATTAATTTAAATTCAAGAAGCTACAGATTTTTGAGCACTGATTAAAAGAGAGCTTACTTCTATTTGCAAGGTAAAACAACAAAGGAGTTTCAAATAAAAGCCTTGGTGGAAAATTACAATTTTTCCATATTTTTATCACCAAAGATATATCATTTTGCAATGTGGGCAGTTTTTGGCAGTAGCCTTTTCTTCAGCTTCAAAATTTGAAAATGGTCAAAGACCGAAAGCCTTTCTTCAGACCAATACCTTCTTTCATTCATACATTCAAACCACAGAATGTTGCCACACAGGTGTATAAAATAGTTTACCTAGTGACTGTCACTCTTTTCTTCCCAAACAGGCTCAAACTCAGAAAATGAGATACAAGACATCCTTGGTGATGAGGAAACGATTACGGCTTTACCGAAACACTCTGAAAGAGTCAAGTAAGTTAAAATCCTCTTTTGAATATTGGTTTGCTGGTTTCTTTTCTTATTTTTAAGTAGGAAGTTTTGTTTTGTCTTTTGCTTATGTTGGGTTGAGAGTCTGGGGGCAGTTTCTTGAGTTCAAATGAAACTTTAGAACACCTTGGTGTTCAATACATTTGCACACAAATCAATGACACGATGTCCCACCAGCAGCCGGCTAATCCCCCTCAATGCCTACTCATCTGGACGTTCCAGAATTAATATTTGACGACTCTCTCATTGAAACAACCACCCCTGACCTTCTGCAGTTCCACTGTCACATTATTCTATGACATATTCATCTTGAATTCATTTCCAGACGATTTGATTGGAATGAGGTTTGACATGTATTGGCTTCCATGAAAAAAGCAGACTTTGATCTGGGTGATGGGGTTTACATGATATACATCATCTTTACCAGGGATACCAGCCTTCTGCAATGTGGTAGCGATGAGGTTCCCACAATGTGGTGTCTGAACAGGGGGTGACTGACAGCCGCTCTGTCAGGAATACCTTCATTGTGAAGAATTTAATTTAATATTCCACTTAGAATAAGCATATGATTTGGGATTGGGTGTTTTCCCTTCCAGGCTTCTAGTTTTCCTCATTTTAACTGTATCACTAGCTGGTGGTTGCTTCCAAAGATGTTTCCTCATTGGTAGGCAAAGCAACCTTCTTAACAAAAGTCAAATGGACAACTCAGGAAATGGATCCCTTATATTATCTGGGGATTATTTGATGGCAAAAGTCTCAAGAGAGGTGTGAGTTACTATGTAAATTCAGTTGTCTTTATTCCTTAAGGCTGTTTTAGAACATCCTGCTTTGGAAAATCCCAAAGCAACGTTTCCTAAGATTTTGTCACAGGATGTTTTGTAGAATCCTTGTTTAGAAATTAAAGTCTACCCAAGTATATTTTCTTCCATACTCAGTCCCATTAATGATATTTAAAGCTCAAATTTTCATAGCACAGGAGAAGAATATCCTCCTTTATTGCCAAAATTCTAATAGATCTCATCTCCTTTGCACAATTTGGACTTAGAAATACGGTTAGGCTGCTGGGGCTCAAGTTATTTCTTTACATAAGAATAAAGGCAACCTCCTTCCAGTAGAAATCCTGAAGTCTGTCTGTGACTTGCCTCTAAAGAAATTTACCAGAAATTGACCAGAAACAGGGAAGAAAGAACTGAACAAGTGACTACTGATTTAGAACATTCAGACAACAAGATTTGTTCCTAGCCAGGTTCTAACATAGTGGCCCACAGCTGATTAGGGCCCAGCTCCTGATCTGGGCATAACTTAACAACAAATAATCATCATTTAATTTAACAATGCTTAAAATATTAAAATGAAAAAGTAGCCCAGCTGTTGATCTGAAATATCCTACATTTCTTTTCCTTTCCAATGGAAAGAGATCAGACATTCAAACCGGTGATTTAAGGAACTCTGGTAGATGGTAGGACCAACAAATATCCTATTTCTACAAAGTAGAACTAGGAAATCACTTGTTTACATCATTGTCTTGGTCTGGGCAGGTTGAGCAAAAGTGCTTAGGGCATGATTCTGGGCACTGCTTTGCAGAGGCTCTGAAGATTGAGGGATATTTGGGGTCTAGTGGTGGAATATGCTCCAAATAGGTTCCCATGAAAACAAGCTTCCAGTGCTTCTTTTTGACATCTGCTAAAGATCTGTGGGTTGTGGGATATTCTTTTTCTTTACAAATGAAGCAGAAAAATAGACTTAACAATGCTATAGCTCCAGGCACAGAAAGGAATAGAATGCTTCAGTCAAGCATTTGGTATTGGGGGCAGGTACAGTGAGATGTTTCTGGAAAAAAAACTCTGAAGACCACTGAGGAGACACCATTCCTTAGACTGCTCAATTTATAATTTCTGTAGCCTAGGTTCCTTGCTTCCCAGGCTCTGGAAGACTTGAAACGATCTCTCTAGACTAAAACATGTCTCTCAGATGTTGATGCCCCACCACCTCTAGCTGGACACTGCTTTGGGGCTTATTCCAAAGATATACCTTGAAGACCCTTATGTAATTGCCCAAAGTTTCTTGTCTGTAAATATTGGTTGTACAATTTCTTTTTTTTTTTTTCTTTATTGCTGTCTCTGGGGGAAATATCCTTCTAGGAGAATGTCTGAACCCATTGCTGTGTTTAGCCAACCAAGATATAGACCATATGGCTCTAAGGAACTTTCAAAGATCAGGCAACCTCAGTGACCTCCAGGTCTACTGACCCCTGGCTACTCAAGCAAGAAGCAGCTACCCAGAATGGGTCCCAGATGTTTTTGGCTTTCAAGATAAGGCTGCATCTGGGAAGGAGCTCCATGGGGCCAGCCTACTGTCCTTGATTTTGGCTGAATCAGATGTGTTTGCCCTCTTGCTGCTAGCACAAAAAAAGTCATACGCAAGTTCAAAGCTTTTCAAAGGCAAAGTGACTAGCAGAAAGTGTGTGGTATGCTAGCAGCCTATGTGTATAAAACCTCTGCTTCTTATCCCTGGAGTCCAGAGAGTCAGCAGTTAGAATTCCAGAGGGCCCATAAACTTGGATGAGGAAAACAAAAATGCATCTTTATTTTCACAGCCTTCTATTGGAAAGTTAGTGTTTTCTACTGTGATGAATATGGACAGCAAATATTGGACTATTAAGAGTTCAACAGGCTCAACAGCCTCCCTAAGGGGTCCACAGCCTGAAACAACTAAAACCCCCTCCTATTCTGTCTATGCTGCTATTCAAAGCTTCTGATGGAGGTGGGGTCACAGTATATATATTAAGAAATCAGGCTTGGCACAGTTGTGGCTCACGCCTGTAATTTCTACATTCTGGGAGGCCCAGGTGGGCAGATCACCTGAGTTCAGGAGTTCAAGACCAGCCTGGCTAACATGGTGAAAGGCTGTCTCTACTAAAAATGCAAAAATTAGCCAGGCATGATGGTGGGTGCCTATAATCTCAGCTACTTGGGAGGCTGAGGTGGAAGAATCGCTGGAACCTGAAAGGCAGATGTTGCAGTAAGTGGAGATCGTGCCATTGCATTGCAGCCTGGATGACAGGGGAGACTCCATCTGGGGAGACAAAGGGAAGAAAGAAGAAAGAAAGAAAGAAAGAAAGAGAGAAAGAAAGAAAGAGAGAAAGAAGGAAAGAAATTCATATGTGTGCAAATCAGTCTTAAAGCTAAAGTGGATGAGTTTGACAAACATTCTGAACCGTTGGTTGTAGATTACCTACCTAGTTTCCAGTGGAGAAAAAATATTTTAATTGCCAGATTATTGCAGACGTGCCCCCGCACTTAAACCTGAATGCTACAGAAATTGACTAAGCTCTGTGTTGAGATGAGGATAGTAAAAAACAGCTGGACAAGGAGTCTCAGGGAAGAACACATCTGGCTGTTGTTTTGCTTTTTGGAGACCTTCATGGGTCAGTCCAGAGCTGCCTAGACAATTTAATTATTCAACAGACACCTGTGAGGTGGGGAGACATTAAATGACTCATTGAGATGTAGAAACCTTTCACTGGAAAGCTGGCCAGGCCACTGCTTGGTGAGGGGAAGGCAAGGGAAGGATCAGAGGCGTTGCCTGTTGGTGGAGGGTAAACCATGGGGAAGGTGACAGCCAGGGAGACAAATCCTGACAGTCTAGTTCTCCACACAGGACTGCTGTGTGGGGGCCCTTGGTTTTGAGAGTAGAAAGTGGGGATCTTTGCAGTCAAATACTCTCCTCTACCTTAAAAAAATATATATACTGGCATAGTATCTGTTGGTAGAGTTACCTAAGCTCTTCCTCTAGAAAGATTTGGACTTGTCTAAGTGGAGATAAATTGTTGTAGAAGTTAATCCCTCCCTAAAGTGTACCCAAGGGGGGAACCATGCATTAAATGAAGGTCTCAAAGAATCTGCCAACTGTTATACATCAGTTAATTATTTTTAAAAATTTCAAAGAAAGCCTTATTTACTAACCAGGAAATGTTTAAGAATAGTCTTTGGTGCTGGGGGTGCGGGGAGGGACAGTTCAGTCAATTTCTAGTCAGCGTTGCCTCTGCTAAGGAGTATGGGAATATTTTACTCAACCTTTAAAACTTTTCTTAAAAATACAAGCCTTTCTCTGTTTAGGGGGCACTTTTTATGGCCGCCAGGGAAGCCCAAGAGCTTAGGCTGGCATTTTTGGCTGCAGCGACAAGGCAGGAGTTCCGGCCAGCAGCCCTTTAAATCGCCAGACCTCGCAGCTGACCTTAGCGGGTCAGCGCAGACAAAGGAAGCCCGACCGCCCTCACAGCCCATCAACCCCCGCCCCCGGGCTTCTGCCACACTCGACTGGGCCAGAACTTAAGTTTTTCCACTGCTGGGACCGACCCCCATTCCTCTAAGGTGGCGCCCCTAGTACTCGAGGCCATCTTGTGAGAGGCGGCCACGGGCCTGCAGGCCCTCTCGGAGCCTGGACCGGGAAACGCGGCGTGCACTCTCTACAGAGGCCTAAGACGACCTAGGAGGGAGGCAGAGGAGGCTCGGACCGCAGGCAACAAGTAGCCGAAGCTGAAAGTGGAAGTCACCCTTAAATCCTTTTTCCCAGAGGCTCCATACGACTGCAGGGGATAGAGCTCAGGATCCCTGATTGGCCCATGAAGATCTGAGAGCGAAAACCTGTTTCTCCTGGATGCATGCCCGACTCCTTTGTTTCTTTGGCCAGCCAGCCGCGGAGGGGTGCGATTTGTGGCAGGGAGGGTCCTCTCAGGAAGGCATGGGTTCGAGCCCAGCCTTTCCAGGCCGTCACCACTTCCCGCCTAATACTGGCCCTGGTCAGGGCCAGATCCTTGGGTTTCGCGCGTCTACGAGCTCGCCAACACGGCGGGGAGGGGCCTGCCAGGCTAAATGGGAAGAGAGTAGAGAGAAAAGAGAGGGGGAGGGGAGAAGAAAGGAAAACAAAGTGAGGTAGCCGGTTTGGGGAAAATAAGAGAGACGAAAAGGACCAGAAAGATCAGAGAAACGAAACATTTCGGAGAAAGCGAAAAAATAAAATTAGGCTCAGGGGCCGCTAGCCTAGGAGTTTCTCAGCTCCTGGCCCCCGAGGCAGCAGGTTTTTTTGGTCCCTCGATCCCGACCCCTCCTCTTGCTGGCTACAGGGACAAACTGCCCAACCAGACCGCCCTCTCTGAGCACTCGTTGCTACCTATCAGCCCCGACTGAGCTCGCGAGAGGACTTAGGGCTCAGCGCAAGGCTCCCTCCCCAAAATTGTGGTGAATGGTGGCAAAACGCAGCCCCGAGTACTTTCAGGAGCCCTGAGGCAAAGCTGATCCATCCTGCTTTCCGGAGAGGGGGAAGGGGCTCAAGGGGAGAGAAAAGGATTTGTGCCCGGGTCAGAGCGCATGAGCAGTAGAAGCGTGAGATGCTGTGGGGGTGGAGTGAGGGAGGGAAGCTGGGTGTGCGTGGGTGGGGGAGAGGGGATGGGGCGGAGAAGAGAGAGAGAGAGAGAGAGAGAGAGAGAGAGAGAGAGGGACCGACCGTGTGCGGCGGGACCTGTCATCACTGACGTCGGGCCCGGCCGCGGGCCAATGGGCTACCCAGGCGATTGTTCCTCTCTGTAGGCCCGGGCCAAGGCCCTGAATCTCTATTGACTTCCTAACGCGCCCTGCTGCTGCCTCTGTAGTGCACAGGATTTCGCGTAGGCATTAATAACCAAGGGGGTGGGGGCACCCAAATCCAAACCTTGAGAAGAAGAAAAAGAGGAAGGAAAAAAAAAAAAAAAAACTTTGCAGAAGTTTTTTGTGTGGCTGTCCTTTCGCCTCCCCACAGTCAGGTGACAGTGGCGTTAGCGGGCCGGTACAGGGAGCTCCGGGCAGCCAGAGCCGGCATGCAGCAGGCCGCCCTCTCCCATCCAAGTGGGGCACTGAAATTAATGTACATGGCTGGGGCGCGTCAGAACCACCACCTCCAACACCATCATTTTTATCACCTCCATTTCCCGGCAGGGCACCGTGCCCCGGAGCGCCCCAGAGTGTTGGCCACCAACAAAAGTGCGCTTGGGACTCAGGTCCGACCCCTCTGGAGCAGAAACCCCAGCAACCCACAGGCTCAGCCCTGCGCCTCCCAGTACCCCGTACATCTACTCTGCCGCTACCGTCCCTCTCCAGCTCATGGCACGGCAGGGGACTTGGCCGAACAGCAACCCGGCCCAAAGGCGGCGGAGGCGTTCGGCCTTTCTCTGTCTACCGGGTTCACTGCTGGCGCCGTCTGGCTCTGAGTTCCACCGCTGACCGCAGAGGCCGTAGTGCGGCTGGGCTGGGCCTGCCCCCCGGGGCCCAGGGAAGAGCGCGCAGCCCACGCCACTCGTTCTCATGCGTGCTATTTGTTTCGACAACAGGTAGCAGCTCTGGACACCATGGCCCCCAGCTCACCGCCGCCTCCAGCCCCTCGGTGTTCCCGGGCCTCCACGAGGAGCCTCCCCAGGCCTCCCCCAGCCGTTCTTTGAATGGACTCCTTCGTCTGGGGCTCCCTGGAGACATGTACGCGCGGCCAGAGCCCTTCCCGCCGGGGCCTGCGGCCCGCAGCGACGCCCTGGCAGCTGCCGCAGCCCTGCATGGCTACGGGGGCATGAACCTGACGGTGAACCTCGCCGCGCCCCACGGTCCTGGCGCTTTCTTCCGCTACATGCGCCAGCCCATCAAACAGGAGCTCATCTGCAAGTGGCTGGCGGCCGACGGCACCGCGCCCCCGCGCCTCTGCTCCAAAACTTTCAGCACCATGCACGAGCTGGTTACGCACGTCACCGTGGAGCACGTCGGCGGCCCGGAGCAGGCCAACCACATTTGCTTCTGGGAGGAGTGTCCGCGCCAGGGCAAGCCCTTCAAAGCCAAATACAAACTTGTAAATCACATCCGCGTGCACACGGGCGAGAAGCCCTTCCCTTGTCCTTTCCCGGGGTGTGGGAAGGTCTTTGCTAGATCAGAAAATCTCAAAATACACAAACGAACTCACACAGGTCAGTATTCGGCGCTGTCTGTCGCGTGCGGACCCTCTGGGGAAGCAGGCCCTCGGGTCTGGATTTCCTCAAGGCCCAACTGAGGGGAGGGGGGAAATATTTTGGTGGTGTTTCCATGAGCCAAGGCCATAAAATATTAATTATGTGCTTCTATTCTTAGAATCACAGAAATTTCCGGAGGCTGTGTGTAGGGAGGATAGTGTGGGGTTTCTGTTCTGGGGGACAAGAGTGAACGTGCCTAAATCCCTGTGCGTGCAAACGTGTGCTCTCTGCTTATGAGTTTGATTTTAAGATATTAAGAAACAGCATTGTTCCCCAAAGTCGTAAAGACATAAGAACAGCTGTCTAACTTTTCCCCTGGTCCCTTTGGAATTGTTCGGCAGAACTCTTCCACCTGTCACCCTGATCACCTGGCCCATCTGGACTACGAGGTTACCAGGCTCTGGAGCCTTCTTTAGGAGTTGTGGGTCGAATAGGCTAACTTTGTACCTTTGTTTGAGCCTTGGTGGCCGGACACTAGGGATGCTTGTGAACTCTCACTTTTGCTTTAGCACAGACCTACAGGGACCTATCCACCTTAAATGTCATTTACGGAGCTGTTATGGGAAACGGGGACATGTGTCAACCACAGCTGCCACTTCTAGTTAACAGGAAAAAAAGTCCCGTGCAAGAGCCTGCAAAATCGAACTCCTCTGGCCAGAGCATCTCTAATTAATGCAACTGCAAAGACAAAGTTTTCACACTTCCAGAACAGCCTGTGAAGTTACATTAATTAGTTTAGCAGCCATTGTTTGTATTCTGCTTAGCTAGGGTTTTCTTGCTCCTCCTCCCTGGAAGTTTAAGAAATCAACGTCTTCTCCCCTCCCCAATTGGGGGAGGGGAGAAGGGGCTGGTGTACACAGGAGAAAATAAAACAAATTCCAGCTCGGTGCCCCACTTCTCCTACTGTCCGGTGCCTTGCCTTACTCCTACTCTTGCTGGAACATCTATAATAATTGGAGTCAAAGAACTCCCTAAGGCTAGTTCTGCTCAATTCTGTCTTCTCCCCAAGTCTCCCCTCCCTGGGAAGGTCCGTGGCCCGGACACTGGCACAGGCGACCAGACCAAAGTCCACTTGGAGCCTGGCACTTTATTTCTAAAGTTTGTCTGGAAGTGTACGGTTTCCCTGAGCTCTTTCCGAGCTCTTTCCGGGGTTCCCCATCCTGTCGCACGAATCTCACACCCTCCCCGGAAGTTTTATCTCGGGGAAGGGGCAGTAGGTCACACCCGAATCCTGGCCCCAGGCCTGCGGCTCCAGGAGCTGGCGGCCGACTCCCGGAAGGTAAACTCGGAGTCCCGAGCTGGAGAAGGAACTCATCTTTAATGACAGGGTTGTTTTTTTAAAACAAACAAACTTTTACTGCTCTTTGCCGGCCCACTGTTTGAAGTCTGTGAAGCAGAAAATGGTTAAATTCTTAGCGCAGTCGACCTACAGCAGAGCAGCAAGTTCAGTGCGCCAGGGCTGGCTCAGATTTTCGTCTTTTCAGGACAGAATTTTGTGCGTTCTTTCGGCTCGCGGGCCTGATTCATTACTGGTGGGGGAGAAAAAAAAAAAAAAACACCACCACCAATAAACTACAGAGTCTCGCCTGCTCTGATATTTTCCTCAAATCCCCCTTCTGAGTAGTAAGAAGAGGAGCGAGAGAGTGAGAGACAGAGAGAGAGAAAGAAAAAAAAAATGTTTCTCAAATGGCAATAGACTTCACTACAAATTATTCATGAAGACAGTTCTCGATTCAACAGGAAAATAATTGCCTTTTCAAATATTAATGGCGTTTCATTTCCTCGAGTCGCGGAAGCTGCAAACAGGAGCAAAATTCTCAGGAGTTGAGATTCTCCCTGACCTGAATCCCGGGTCTGGCTTTGGAGGCGACTGTCAGCACCGAAAGGTTTCACTTTGTGGCGGTCACAGCGATCCCGGAACAATGGTGGTGCCTCAGGGAGGGTGGCGCGGGCCAGCTACAGCTTTCTGCCTGGCCACTGCCGCCAAGCTCCTCTCCCGGGACCCCTGGGCCGGGAGCTCGCCACACCTTCCCCGGCGTCTGATAGCGAGTCAGTGCTCGGGGTCCGAGGCAGAGGAGAAGAGCCCGCGCCGGGGCGCAGTCGCCGGGACAACCAGATCCAGCCACAAGTGCGAGAAAATGGCGCTGGCCCAGCCGCCCCGAGCTTCCGAACTTTGTCGGGCGGGCTCCGCGCAGAGTCGGAGAGGAGGCCTTGCCCGGCTGCGGAGCCTCTAGGAGGAGAATCTGGGTCTTTCACAGCGCAGCCAGGCCTAGGACGCTCCGAGCGGGCTGCAGGGGCCTAGCCCAACTCTGCCTTTCCGCATTCACCACCCACCCAGGGCGCATCGCAGGGAGCTGAAGGCGGGGGAAGGACTGGAGGCCGGGTGCTGGCGGGGGGCGGGGGTGGTGTCGAGCGCGGGGACCAGGGCGGGGACCAGGGCGCCTCCTGCGGCTCTGGAGCGAGCTGGGAGAGCGGCGTCACCTGGCCTTCCAGGGGCCTGCGAACTTCCCGGCTGCGGGTATCACCTCGGTGCCCCGCTGTTTTCTCCTCCACTCCTCGTCTGGAGCGAAATCATTGTTTTTATTTTACGTGAATGTCCAGCGGGGCGCTCACGAGATCGGATAAGAGTTTGGCGGGAATTTGTTTTCGGGTGTGGGGGGCATCAACCTCAAATTCCATTTCACCTCTGTTTTCTCAAAATAACCTTGGTTTCTTTTGCAGGGCCTGAATTTCATGGTTTTTTTTTTTTTTTTTTGTAAGTTTTTTTTTTTTTTAATGGAAAAAAGTTTTGGGTTTGCAAATGCTGACAGTAATCAGAGGAGCGAAAATAAGGGGCAAATGGAACACTGATGTATTCTGCGTCTTTCTCAACCTGTTTTATAAAATGGTGCCGGTGTCCCGCGAAATGGCAGGTGCCAACACCTTCCAGAGGGTCGGATGTACTAGCTGTACTCCGGTAGGGTGGGAATCCAGCGACTGCGCGGTGCCGGAGACCCGGGCTCAGAGGCCACTGACTGCGTAGAAGCGCGCGTTATGCGCAAACCTCTCTGCCCCCGAGCCTCAGCAGGGCTCGGGAATCGGGGCTTTGTTTGTTCAAACCGGTCCCAAAGCGCCTGTCTTTCCTGGATGCAGCGGGAGAAGCAACCACAAAGGCAACAGTTCTCCAGGTAGCCGGTCCCTTAACTCAGAGGGCTGGGCAGCAGCCATTTGCTTAAAGCGCCCAGACACCTTCTTCCCCCATTTCCGCAATACTGCAGCTCCGGCAGGAATCTAGGCTTCCGGATTCTCGGTGTCCTTTCCTCTCCCACACGTCAGCCAATTCAGGTGGCCGTGAGCTCCCGGACTGGGGCTCGGTCCGGCCAATGTTGTCACTCTAACGCGCACTCGCGCCTTCCCTCGGCTCTGCAGGGCATCGCAGCCCCCGATCGCAGCCCCTCCCAGGCCTGTCTTAGCCGCCCAGTCGCCCTCCAGTCTGCGGATCCCGGCCTGGCCTCACAGCAGCCGCTGTTCTCCTCCCGAAGCCGCAGCGCTCCAGGGCGTGGTTGCAGTAGAGACCTCGGATCCCGCTCAGCCTGTGGGGAGCCTACCGCGCCGACCCCTCCTCTTAGGCCTGAGAGGCCCGACAGCCAGGTGGGGGTGGTCTGGGGAGCCTGGTCTGCTTCGCAAGTCAGTTTGAACTGGGAGGGCCAGCTGCCCACAGCACGGTCTCCGGGAGGCCTCTGGAGCAGCGTAATAAAATATTATTGCCGGCGCGCGTATCTGGAGGGATCCCGGAAGGTTTAGGCAAGATTTGAAGAATGCTGCTAAATGTTTGCCCTCGGGGGTAGAAAGGAAGAGGGAGGGGGCTCCATATCCTGTAAAAATCTCTGAAGTGAATCATTGCTCAGAATACCTTTCCCTGCAGCACGAATCGACATTATGCACAGACTATGTGCGTCGGCTGCGCATACTTAAATTATTTCATCGCTTTGGCGTTTGCACAAAACCTACTTTAGGAAACAATTTGGGCCAGGATGGGGGTGGGGAGGGATGAACGGCTGGGCAGGGTAGCGGCAGAGACGTTTGGCTGAAACAGCAACTTTAAATCCAGCAGATGTGAGCTCCCCCATTAATATATTTCCGAGCAGAGGTGCTTCTGGTTCCAAGTGGAGAAAATTTGGAGGAAACAACCCGAGTGGATCAGGATTTACGAGGATGGAAACTCGACTAAGATGGAGTCACTGTCGCTCCTCCTCCATACCCTCCCCCAGAGCCCAGACGGGGAAGGGGGGAGGGATGGAGGCGCTCGAGAGAGGGCGCCGGGGGCACTCTCTGCGCGAGGGAAAGGGGTGCTCGACCTGAGGCGCCGTGGAAAGGGATTTCCGAAAAGCTTTTGTAGTCGTTTTCCAGAAAATGAGAGACGAATGGGGGAGGGTGGCGAGCACCTGAAGGGAACACGATCCGCGAGCACTAATGTCTCTGCGTTGCCTCCGCCAGGCGAGAAGCCCTTCAGGTGCGAGTTCGAGGGCTGCGAGCGGCGCTTCGCCAACAGCAGCGACCGCAAGAAGCATTCGCACGTGCACACTAGCGACAAGCCATACACGTGCAAGGTGCGCGGCTGCGACAAGTGCTACACGCACCCCAGCTCGCTGCGTAAGCACATGAAGGTACACGGGCGCTCACCGCCGCCCAGCTCTGGCTACGATTCGGCTACACCGTCTGCCCTCGTGTCGCCCTCGTCAGACTGCGACCACGAGTCTCAGGTGGCCTCCTCGGCGGCGGTGGCGGCGCGTAGCGCCGACTTGAGCGAATGGTACGTGTGTCAGGGCTTGGGCCCCACCGCGGCTGCCCCCGCCACGCCCCTCACTGCCGCACCCCCACCTGGTCCAGTTGCCGCCGCCGCCGCCGCCTCCGGGATCAAGGCTGCCCCTGTGGTTGCTGCTTCGGCACACACCGACTGCAGAGTAGGCCAGGTTTCTGAGGCTTGAAGAGGGCGAGGGCGGAAGGAAGGAAGGCCGGCCGGCCTCCAGTAACAGTCGCTAGAGTTCACTGAATATGCTAATATAATGCCCATTATCTTAACAGATAAATATGGTCCCCATATTTATTCTGCAGTCACACTCAGCACCGTCACCCCCACTCATGCCTTCATAGCTGTATAGCATAAAAGCAGTGTTGGGGTGAAGGGAAGACGATGGAAAAAAAATGGAGAATTTATGTGCAACCCTGGCAACTGTAGGTGGCAAAAGTAAAGCCACAAAGTCCCCGCATGCTTCACAGAATGGGAAATATTTTTCTCTAGGATTGGGCGGCTCCCACCCGCACTCCAATCCTCTCCTCCCCGACATTAATTCCAATCTCAGAAATTCAGATCCAGAAAAGGGGGCCAAGGGATTCCAGAGCCGTTTTCTTGACTCCAGTTTCTCTCCTCTTTGCCTTCCTATGGTTTCCCCTTGCCCAGCTATCCTTTGAAACAAAAAAGACATAAGTACTAATTCTCCAACCATCTTATAAAGGAGATAAGGGAGATTCACCGTCTTTTCGGCGGGGGTGGGTGGGTGGTGGTAATACGCTCCCACCCCCATGGAGTGGCCTGGGCACACAGAGAAACATCTGCCTGTCTTCCACAGACTCGATATACATTGTATACTTGGGGTAGGGAGTGAATTCAAAACAACAGGAAATACAGACAAAGGAACGCCAGAGAGGCTTCAGGATTCAATGCAGTGAGGCCTCCCCGGGTCCTTTTCCCACCCCAACCCCTGTCGAGGCGTTGCCTGTGGAGTCTCGTAGGTGCTTGGGCTCCGAGTGTAGAGCGAGTCGATGACGTCACTGAGTCGAGGCTTCTAAAGTGGAAGGACCTGACCTAGGCGGCAGCGTCTGGGCGAATGGCGTCAATTCGGTGATGGTCTTTGTCAACAATTACACAATGCTGGCCTTATTTTTAAAGAGGTGGAGGAGGGACGAGAGAAATGATCCACAATAATAAATATTGTAACGGCAAACACCCAGTGGGTCTAGATTGAATGTGTATTTGATATGCTGTGTATAAAGTCCCCAGAAAAAAAACAACCAGATGTTGAAGGCGGGGGAGAGGAAGGCCTTTGCAATTGCTGCCAAAGGGAAAAAAAATTAGTCCTGTTTTCCCCCCTCTCTGCAGGAGAAGGGGGCTGACCCAAAATCCTAGCTAAGATTTGAAGAAGAAGATGAAGAAAAGGAAAATAAAATGATAAAGCTTTGGCAGGTTCATTCCAGTCCCCTAAGAATTTGAAAATCAGTGTGTGTGTGTGTGCTGGGGAGGGAGGTGGATTTTCCCTCTGGGGAGGACCCCACCAAATAGCTCAATTTAAAAAGCTGAGCCCAACAAACAAGTCTTGGCCCTGCCACTGATGAATTTTCTTCTGCTCTCTCCTCTTCATATACAATTAGAATTAGCACTCCTGCCCGCAGCCCCCACAACTTTTATCCGATGAAATAACGTCCTAACTAGAGTGGCACTGTTTTCACAGCTCCAAATAAAAAATGCAATCTTCCAAATACACCCTTAGTGAATCCGTCCTCGAGAAAGGAGAACTGGAATTCCTGCCTCCCCCTAACACAATAGGGCCCAGAGGCTGCCTGACCCAGCGCAGGCAGTCGGCAACAAACAACTCTTTCCCACCGTGAAACACCGACCCCACCACTAAGGTGCAGAGGGCATGTGCGGAACTTGCTGCTTCTGCCGATGTTTAAAAAGTCCCTCTTCCTGAAGTAGGACTCGTTTCTTTCGCTTCTGTTTCGAGGCTCCCCATTTTGCCTTCTATCCCCATCTAAAATAATGAAATAAAACAAAAATGTTTGGCCGGCCACTAATCGCCTTTAATTTTTCATTTGCTTGTTACAGATGTCCACCGCGTTGCTCGCAAGGTAATCTCGCTCCGCGCAGCTGAGCGCCCCGCATCTCGCGCCTGCGACATCAAAGGGTCCGCGCACAAAGCAGTGTTTCTTCGCCACGGTGCATCTTCATGGTAAGTTAGGATTTCTATGGCAATGGGCAAGTCGCACTGAAATCCTGAAAGGCCAAGCCTGGAGCCCGTCCAGGCTTTTCATTAAGGACATAATATTTACGTCTAACAGACCTTTTTTCTTGTGTATACAAGTATATATTTTTGTTTGACGCGGACTAAATCATTTTCATTTAATTTCCGGTAAACAAAACCCACGCGAATGGGCACTTGTACCCGATCATAATAAAAATGGATAATAATGTGAAGGAAGAAAAGAGCCGCTTGAATCGCCGCTCAGCCCTCTTTGTTTCTGCTTTCTGCGGTGATCAGAGGGCGCATTTGGGTTTGATGGCGAGTTTCTAAAGGCGAGGAAATGGTTTGTAAGAGGGGAAAGAAAAGGAGAAAGGTCTAATCAAGCTCGGGTTGTTCAAAGAGTCGGGTTTTGGGGTTGAAAGTGTGAGTTTGACGGTGCATCAGCATGCCGCGTTAGGCTCGCCATGGAAATACGCGCGGGGAGCGGTCGCTTCAAAGGCGGCACACTTCACTACAGACACTCTATTAAGATACATTTGCGCTGACCTTTGCTTTCGCGCCATTTAATACTGTCACTGCGCTCTCCAGTATATACTTCCTTCCTAGAACCCGACTTGCCCACGTTTAGGGGTTCACCCCGCACCCTGATGTGGGAGGCTTTGGTGCAGGGGACACCTTCAGGAAAGGAAGGAGCAGGACTCCGTGCATCTTGACTGCGCCCCAAAGAGGCTGCAGGGTCAGGAGTAAATAATTTTAAAGCAGCCTCAGAAGCTTAGCAAATGAGCATTCCCAGCTAAGTTTTGTGCAAATTGCCTTTCTGACTCCTGAGTAGGATAGAGGCTGAAATTTGATGGAGACTTGTGGGAAAGGGAGTCACCCTGGGGTGTCTGAGGAGTTCAAATTGTACCCTTGGGACATTTCCACTCTGGCTTTCCGTACCACTCTTCTTCCTCTCCATCCCGGAAGTCTCTTGCGACCCCCCAAACTTGTTTCTTTCTAAGGCAGTGTGTGTGGTACCCTCAGGCCTGAACTTGTCCTAGATGCAAACTCAAGAGCCCAAGGCCAAGGGGATGTGGGGAAGATGGCAGGAAAGTTAGAAGTCCATGTTCCCTTAATTGTCTTGTTGTTTATTTTATCCAAGTACCCCAGTGAATAGGGGAAAAATAAACACTGTGAAAAAAAAATCAAACAGTGGAGTCTTCTTTAGTGCCAGTCCTTGTGGTTGAATAAAAAGGATGGTCCGCTTTCTATTGAGCTGAGAAATCTTTGAAGTGGGAGTTATTATCTGAGACATTCCTGCTTGTCGTCCTAACAACGCTGATGAAACGTAAAAGGTTCTTTGTCAGCGATTTGTTCTCCTCTCTGTCAAACTCCCTCTGCCCCGTTAGTTTCAAACCGTTTCTAAAGAGATAAAAATCAAACTTCTTTAAAAAAAAAAAAAAATCCACACACTGCGCCAATACATAACTTTAGGGCTAAGTCTTGCTAAGGGCTAAACAAAAGCAATGCCTAGACATCAGGGTCAGGGCCTGGCTTGGTGAAGGATGCAGATGTTGGGGGGCCCTTGGCACAAGCTTTGGGACTTAAGGAAAAGAATGCAGAGAAGGTGCAAGCAGAATACAAACCCTAAGTCCATAATTGAGTTTCTGCTTCTTTCTGCTCTGGCTTTCACTCAGTTAGCACAAGTTGGGTCACCTGGATGGGTTTTGGGTACCCCTCTAGCTCCTAATATTCTTGCCCAGGATCCTTGGAACTTAAGACTGCAGCCAAGCAATTGTTAATATCTACCGCTCCTTCAAAGACACCTCTGCTAAAAATATACCCATTGTGTGTTTCTTCTCACTGGCAGCAATCAGAAAGCCCTTTCTGCCATTGATTAGAAGGAGAATAGGTGAGGGACAGAGAAGTTTTATTAATTTCCTGTTTCCTTCATAATCTTGGGAATTGAAGTTTAGAAGATTTGGTCTACAACATAGTGATCCAAAATGCATGTAAATGCCCATCCTTCCCCCCATCCACATGTGCAGTTCTTCATTTTATATTGTGCCCAGGAAAGAAACCAGTTCAGGTTTCCCCAAACCTCCTGTTGTGGTTTTAAAGGTGATTTAAATAAATAAGGATGTGCTGGTCCCCCCACACTGTGTGTGCTGGATAAATGATTTGTAAAGAAGTTTTTCCAAGCTGTAACCCATGCTGTTATTATAGTTGCTGCAAAATGTTGTTTCTGATATTGATTTTATTTGTTAACTGGAGGTCTCCATATGTTTGTTTATATTGCTAATTTATGGGAAAATGTAATAATTGCAATGAATGTGAATTACACAGACAGGCAAACATTTTGTAATCATAATTCACATACATACAAAAGCCTGGCTGAAAACCTTAGACTGTTTGTACCCTCTCTACCCACACTGTTTGTGATTTATCATCTGTCTCTTTAGTGTCATTTAAATTATGAACTAACTTGAAAATAAAAAGTTGTTTGACTGAAAGTGATTGTTGAATGAACAACAAAGTTGAAAGCCATGGCTTGATCTTGTAAATATGTAAATGTAAATGATATTAAATCTGTGATTTCTTTTTCCTCCAAAGGCCTTTGTGTACATGGAGCTCCATTTGGCTATTTTCTTTGGAAATAAATGATGTGACGTTTCCCTTCCTCTTTTGAATCCTGGTGTCCTGTTTTTGTTTCTTCATCCTGGGAGAGATTCGAGGCCCCCCAGAAGCTTCCAGTTCTCTCCTCAGTTTTTCTTCACTGCTTCACACAAATATCTCTGAGACAGAAAAATAGAGGGACCCCCTAAAGTGGCCATTGTGAGAAAGACTTCTCCAGTCCCAAGGACACTGACATCACCAACCAATTTATTAACACAGTGTAGAATCAAAAAGTTGAAAGGATGCTCTCAGTGTCTCCCAGGAAGAGCTACCTTTCTACATTTCCAAATCAGAGCAACCTCTAATCAACCACCTCTGAATTCCCAGAGAAGAGCCCAGTAGCTGGTGGGAATCGAAACAAGGAAAGAAAAAGATAGGGCATTTCTGCTGTAAGACCTGACTAAGCTCTGATGGAGTGTCTCAGGCACAGCTGCCCGCAGGGATCTTCCTAGCTGGATCCCGCCCCTCTGGGAGAAGCGATTTTTCAGACCTCAAGGCTCCCTTCAGATAACTGCGAAGGTCTATGCCTGAAGACTGGGAAGCTACAGCCCACATGACACTTCCCTGGGCCCCAATTGAAATATCTGGTGGGTTTCAGCATCTGATGCATGCACACTCTTACCCGGCCCAGTCACTGGCAAACTTATTTCAAATGAATCACCAGAATCATTCTCCCTCTTCCACTGCGTGGTCACTGGACCTCTAGGAACTCGCGAACCTTGTTTCCCCAGCACCCCCTGCTCAGGCGCCACCTCAGCGAGCAGTCAGCCTGACACCTTTTCCGTTCCTGAGAAGCTGGTTCTCGTGGACTTGGCTGGGGCAAGGGCTGGATGGAGTGGGAAGGTAACGACCCTCGGGGTGGGAATGCTTGGTCTCCTTGGAGAACACCTTGGAGGCTCAACTCGTAGGGCAAGGGCTGCAGTCTGCGGAAAACATTAAAAGAAAGGACCCCAGCGCGCAAAGCGCAAGGGTGACGCGCAGGTGTAATAAAGGAGGCCACGAGGGGAAACCCAGACGACGAGTCCGAGTGGACGGAATCCCCGAGAAAGGAGGCCCCTGGGCGTTAAGGCTGGAGTTAGCGCCCCCTCCCGTTCCTTTCGCCGAAGGCCCAGTTCCTCCGGCTCAGCGCCAGGTTAGAGGGGCCTCTCCTCCACCCGGCCTCTTTCAGAAAGAGCACTCATTAAAGTCCTTTAACCGACAGAGCTTTGTGGTGAGGAGCAAGTGGGGATTAGGAATGAACCCGGCACTTCCAGTCAGGGCTCTTCTGGGGCTCGGAGCTCTCTGCTCAGTCCTGCTGCCTAGAGTCTTCACAGCTGTGCCTGACTTTGGCTCCAGAGAGGATCCCAGCCCTTCCACCCGCACCTTCCCATTCTGCCCAGGAAAGCCTCGCGCGGGAGGGCATCCAGGAGTTGAAGCCGGAATCATTTCCTAGAATGCAGAAAAAAGACGGCGTGCCCGGGAGGCTCCGCTGTCTTTGGCATTCCCTGACCAGGTTTTGGAGAAAGAAAGGCCTGTCTTTGAACCTTCCAAGTTCCAATTGCGAGGCAGTAGAAGAGGAAAGAGAAAGTGCTTTTAAAGACACCTCAGTGCCCCCAGCCACTAGGAGAGCTTAGATTTCCTTTGAGGCATTATTGTTTGGAAGAGTTGAATAGTGTAACCTTTGACTGAAGGTTGAATTTACTGGTCCCCAAGTGCCCTTGGCTAGCCTCATCCTAGAATTATCTCTCTTGCTCTCTGGGGAAGTTACCCAGATCCCACCCTGAAGTGGCAATCCTCAGGGAAGCTTGGGCGCGCTGTAGGCTCTAATGATCCCTTCTTCCTAGCCAGCTCTCTTCTTCACTATCCCGAATTAGAGAACCAGGTAGACACTGTGCTGGCCTGCTGAAAAGATCTTGGAGAAGAGGCAGTCTGCCCCGCTTGTTCACCTACTGGCCCTGTGCCCCTGGATAAGTGATGAAACCTCTCTGTGCTTCAGTTCTTTCATCTGTAAAATGAAATTAGAATGAACCTCCTTTGCAAGTTTGTTTTGAGTGTTAAATAAGATAATCTTCTAAACATTTAGAATGTACTTGCTAGTGCTAGTTGTTATTACTGTTGCTTATCTTGGGATTCTGTCTTTCAGACACATTCCCCCAGCTCCTCATTGAATCAGATAGCTATTTTCAGTCCCTAACAGAAATTGTGGCGCTCTCAGGGACCCTAAACTCCATAGCAGCGTGCACCTCCTTCAGGCAGTCTGAAGGATAGCTGAGAGCCCTATGTCACTTTGTTCTCTGGGATCAACTGTCTGAGAAGTTTATTCTCTGAGAGTTCCAGAGCCTGGGGCACCCGGGCACTGAGGGAAAAATGTAAATTGGTTTTTAAAGGCACAAGAAAAATTAGAGAATTGAGTTTATTTTTGGTGAGTAAAGAAGCTGAAGAAACCAATTGCCTTAATGTCACCCCTATGACTTGTTAAGACTGGCATTGCAGTAAACACAATGGCTCAGCCTGCCTTGTGTCAATTTATTTTATCATAAGCTCTGTGGTTTGGGCTTTTCGAGTCTTGGGTGTGTAAAATGGAAAAGTGCGAGTTGAGAGAGGGGGCAGGCAGCTAGGAGGCTGAGGACAGAGTGAGCACAAGTCACACAAAGGTACATTTTTCCCAATAAGGCATCAGGATCTTTTTCACAATTATTTTTTTCCTACTAAATCCTCGTTTCATAAAAATTAATAACATCTTAGTCAACAAGTGACCAAAGATCCCCAAATTACATATTCCACCAGTCACCAACTAGACATCAGGATAGCTTTGCTTTTTCACTCAAATATCTCCAATGAGAAAAAGAAATGAGTGTTTCCTGGGAATGTTTTGGAGCTCAGACCCCAAAGTCATTCAAGAAAAACAGAAATTCAGTAGACAGTTTGGGGAGTTCTTGGGTTTTGTCCCTGAACTGTCCAGTGGCTTTGCAAACATCCAAAGCAATGGCATGGAAAAGAAAGAAAAAAAAATACCTTAGGTAGAGGTACAGGTCAATCTAGTGTAAATGTGACCATGAGGGTGCACTTTGAAACGTGATCCACCTTCTTCCTCTTTTTATTTTTTCTTCTAATTTACAGCCAGTGTAGACTACATGGGCAAAAATACAGGACAATCGATTCAAAACAAAGTGAGCAAGACTGTGCATGATTCTAAACCTCACAATGAATGAGCAGCCTTGGGAAATGTTTGCAGAAGGAAGAAAGCAAAATTGGAGAATTATCTATCATCATAGCTGTGACATGTAGTGTACAATTGCAAAAATAAGAAAAAATAATACACGGATTACAATATTAAATGATGTATACAGGCTATCAGAAGGACGATTTGGTTTTCTCTTGTCTATGACTGAAGGCTAGCCCATGAAAGACCAGATTAGCCAGATGAGAATAGTGTTCTTTGCCAAAACTAAGGAGAAACTGCAGACAGCTCAAGGTCCTTGATCTGTGCCATTGCAAGGTCTTACTTAAGGTTTAACAGAGGCCTCTAGCTTTTGAACTCATTAATGTATTCATTAATCCTTTAAAGAATACACCCAGCATCTTGGTGGAAAATGTTTTTCCTGAAATTTTTATATTTCTAAGCCAAGAAAAATAGGCATCTGTCCCCAAAAGATTTGCTTATTTATTTCCTCTGAGAGAAGTGTGTTGCCTGATGCACATAAGCAGTTCCTCAGCACACTTTAACCACTTTCACCTGAGAAAAATGTTTCAAATATACCACAAAAATTTCCCTACATTTTCTGCCACTGCATTTAATAAGAAATTCATAATGAAATGTTTTCTATTGTCCTCAAAGCTGGCCAGGTTTCTTTTATTTAAAAAATATAATAAAAAACTGCTACAGAAAAAAAAATGGGCTTCTTAAAAGTGTAAAATACCATTTCATTGTAAAAAGTAAAACAAAACAAAACAAAACAAAACAAAAAAACTGAGTGGTAATCCAACTTCCGGGAACTGTTGTGAATTATTTCACCAGACCCTTTTAAAAGGGGATTAGTGGGGCTTTGGGAGCAAAATCCTTCTGTTTTATTCAATCTCTGATTTTATGTTATAATTACAAGCTGTAAAGACTTTGGAATTAGTATGCAGGCACTGTCAGGACCGATGCAGGTGCTATTCTAACAGTTCAGCTTTTTAATTAAGAAAAGAGGTAAGAAAATCGAATCATAAAAACACTTTTGTGAGAGCTGAGAACATTGCAGCAACTGCATGAATAAAGCCTTTATACCTTCCCCTGACAGGTCAGCTACTGAGGCTCTGACTTACGACCTTTTCAGGGCCAGACAATAGTTAACAGCTTTCTCACCTTGTCCCCACAGAACCTTTTCTTCTAGGACAGATCTTATGGAAATTGCCTTAAGTAGCTTGACTTCCATAAAAGATATTGCAGTTAGAATGGATACGTATCCATATTGAAATGCGTGTTCTTCAGTCCCAACTACAGATCTCTTGTTCTTTGGATCCCTTCTCATGGGTGGGGGAGGGTAGTGTCTAAGAGGCACAGAAAGTGGAAGGGGGAATAAAATCTGCCCTGAAATCTGCACACAGGGGCACATAGAATCAAGGCCAAAATGGACATGACCACCCCATTCCCAGGAAAAAAAAAAAAAAAAAAAAACCACAACAGGAAAAATGAAAAAAAAAAGAAAAAAAGAAAAAAGAAAACAAGAACTCCCCAAAATCCCAACAAACAACAAAAACCCAAAGTCATGGGATGCAGGTTGTTCTGGGCTTTTCTGAAGTGGGCTCTTCTTACGGGAAATAAATTTGGCCTGAACACTCCCAAATTTGGGGGTGCCTTAGTCCTTTGTAAGTTTTTCAGCTCCCTGGTTATCTCGAAGTGTTCTTCACCTGTGAGTAAACTTGTACTATCTTGCCATACTTCAAGACAAGTCCCCAGCTCTTCCACCATAGTAAAGCTGGAGCCGCCTCA